AAGTCATATGAGTCGACTGACAATGGATGTTCTAACAGACTCTGTTGAATGTCAGAAAATCGCTTAGTATGTCGACTTACAAGCATAATAGTCGACTTACACTGTAAACTCAGATTCTGGATATTTTTCTGTTAGTATTTTGACTGTAATACTTTCTCATCCGATAGACGGATGCAGGTGATTTAAGGATTGTTTGTGATAAGATCGTTGTAAGGAGTACCTACAATTGTTGGTCTTTTTGGGGGGGAGTTTTTCGCCAGATTCTGAATTGTTTAAGGGGTGAATAATAAATGTTTTAACTCACTTAATATCTATAATGCTTAATGGCCTAATCATTAGGGGATTTCTATTGTTTACCAACACACTAAACATTGTGGTTAGTGTGTCAACGACTATGTTGGTGGCATCGTGTGTAAGTTGCATCAAGGCTTGCTACAAATTTCTAAGGCAAAGAAAAATATGAAAATTACAGTATTTGTCAATAACATAATATCTTCTTCTTTGCTTCATTTTTGCCTTTGAACTCAATCTATGTCTTGAGTATCTCTTTGAATATAATTGGTTGATATAGCTCTGGATACTGCAAAACAAATGTTAAGCATAGATACAACACAACATATAATATTTGTTGTCATCAAACAATACTAATCTTGGGGTCAAGATTGCCTGAACATTCTCTCCCGCTTTGTGTGATGGACAAATATATGCTTATTCAGGAATAACAATTTTAATCCCCCTCTGCATCGAAATCGATATAAAATATCTTTACTCCCCCTGCATCAAAGCATAGTAAAATAATTAAAATTAAAATTTTCGTATTATAACTCCCCCTTTGTCATTTAGCAATATAAAGAATAAACATTATTCCTAATTAAAAATGTATTTCTATCCTGTTTCAATTCAAATTACTTGAGAATTAGAAATAAGTTTAGATAGATTAAAATTCAGAAAATTATCTTCAAGTATATCTTTTATTTCAACCTTTAAGGAAAATTATGTGACCTTTAATTCTCAAAAATGTTTCATATAATTCATTGAGCATCCTAAATCAATTCTTCATTATTGCATACCTCATCTTCTTGTCCATGAAGGCACATGTGAGTGGCAATTCCTTTTGTTTCTTTATTTTTGAATAACTCAAACCTTGCCACATAGAAACAGAATATTTTAGATTTCTTTAACTTTATTGTACGTTCATGGAGTTAACCTCAAGTGTATGCCATAATATCTGTATGCCAAGATGTGCCTGTTGACACACTATTGAACTCTATCTTGGTCAAGCTGCACTCTCAAATAATAAGCATTCAGTTGCTTTTTGAATCCAAGATTTGCATTATTTTTTGAGAAAGTAGGTCCATTCTGCAAAGAGGGTTGTTGGCTTCTCATTATTTTTGTTTCCGACGTTACGCTCCAAAGTTCAGTAGCCAATTGATTGAAGGTAAAATCCTTTCATTCGGCACTTCCGAATAGTTGTAGTTTGTGCCATTCGAGTAGTAGGTGGTCGCGTGTGTGTTGGAAAATTCCCTCTTTTGAATCGTGGATTATTTGTTGATGCCATCTTATCACCTTGCTCTGATTACCAATGTTAGGCGATCATGAAATAGATACACTTAGAACACTAGAAGAGCGGGTCGAATAGTGTTCTTTTAAATATGCAAAGTAGATTATAGAATTGCAAAGAAAAATGGCAATCTCAGAAATTCACAATCACAAACACCAAAGTTTCAATACTTTTGCGTTCCACAAGACCCGCCGGTTGTAACGATTCCAGTCCCCAAGCAATCCGCCCGCTTGAGATTTCCACTATGATTTTGAAACCTTATCATAAAAATCAAATGCAAACCTGACCAATTTGCAAGACCTCGCAATTATCAATACCAATTGACCAAGACCAGATGCCAAATGCCAACACCCATAATCGTCTAAATCAAGAGGATCACCTCGTCAACCCGGAGAATTCTCTTTTGAAGATATGAGATACACAATTGATCGGTATACAGCGTTGAATGTGTAGTGGAAGTTGCTCATTTTGCTCAGAGGCTTAGGATTCTTTTAACTCTCTGAATATTGTCGTATGTACAATCTACTAGAATGATTGAAACCATTAGGACATATCAGAAATCTCCTATTTTTCTAAACATTTTCTTCATCAGAAAATCTGGAAAATTAGACGAGTAGATATCGCACAATAATATTTGATCTTGCCAAGTTCAAAACTTTAGCTGCTTGTTTTCTGATGTTTAAACCCTATTTATAGCCTCCTGAAATGACATAATTTTAAAACCCGAATTAACGTCCACAAATCGGCTTAAACAGTTCAGCCGACTCCTCCCAGTGTCCTTTATTAAACCTGAAAATCTAGAAAAACTTGCCATTTGTAAGTTCGACTACAAGTTCATGATAGTAGTCGACTTTACACTGAAGTCTAAACAGAACCTTGTGAAGTCAGGAAAATCGCTTAGTAGTCGACTACAATGCATAATAGTCGCTCACTGTAAAACATCAGATATCTGGAATTTTTCTGTTAGATTTGACTAATAACTTTCTCATCCGATATCGGAATAGGTGACTTTAAGATTTGTTGAAAGATCTTGAAGAGACCTACCAATTTGGTCTTTTTGAGTTTTTCCAGAATCTAAATTTATAAGGGGTGTAAATAAATGTTTTAAGACCTCACTTAATATCTATAAACTCTAGAATGGCTAAACATAGGAGATTTCTATTGTTAACCAACACACATAAGCATGTGTTAGTGTGTCTACACTATTGTGTGCATTGTGTGTGAGTGATCAAGCTGTACAAATTTCTAAGCAAGAGAAAATATAAAATTACATTTTGACAATAACGTTATCTTCTTCTATTGCTTCCATTGCCTTGAAACCATCTAATGCTTGAGTATCTCTTTGAATATAATTGTTGATATAGCTCTGATACTTGCAAACAAATGTTAAGCATATAAAATACACACAATACATATAAAATTTGTTGTCATCAAAACAAACGTAATCTGGGGTCAAGAATTCCTAACAATATATATATATATATATATATATATATATATATATATGATATAATATATGAGAAAAATGGGTATGCTTAGGAGCCTGTTTGGTTCAATAGAGGGTAGAATAAGGATTAGGAATCCTATTTTATTTTATGAATCCACCCCTAAATCGCATAAAAAATTTATTAGACCAAATTTAAGGACTTTATGGAATCCTAGTTTTTTTGTATTCATGTTTTTCACGACAAAGATTAGGAATAGGATTAGGGAATCAGAAAAAAAAGAGAGAGGTTGTCAGAAATTCCAGCCAAATTCCTAGCCAAAAATGGAACCTGGATTGGACCTAAATATACACTGTTTGAGCCTACTTATAGATTAGGCAATTCTAAATAAATTTTTTTCGAGAACCAAACTCAAGATAGGATTCATTTGGATCCATTAATCTACAAACTCATTGTCAGTCGCAAATACCAATTCCTAGTCCATAAAATTGGTGAAACAAAACAGGCCCTAGTAACCAGAAACACAGTTTTCGGTGCTTGGTAGTGAGGGTACATATTCCCTTTCACATATTAAAATCGAGTCCAACATTATATATATATATATATATATATATAATTATATATAATATATACTATATTATATATATATATAATACTATATATATATGAGGAAAAAATGAGTAGCTTGTAGCACAAACAAGAAGTTTTGAATTGGTAGTGAGGTGACATATTCCTCTCAAACAGACATTAAATCGAGCCCACGTTTACATAGGTTGGAATTGATGAAGTAGATAGGAATATGACACCTCAATATTCAACACCAAAATTTGTGCTTGTGAGCAAACATTCTCAGTTTCTCTCTCTCTCTCATCTTCCTCTCACTTTATATATATTATATATAATATATATATAATATATATATATAATATATATATAAATATATATATATATATATATATATAATATACTATATATATATAATATAATAATATATAATAAATATACTATATAAATATATAATAATAATATATATATATATATAATATATATAGAGAGAAGGATTAGAAGAGAGAGAGAAGAGAAGAACTCCTATCAAACTTAAGTTGACCTGTCCACAAACGTTTCTAAGCCACACTAATATTAATATAACACCGCGCGTGGGTTTTTATATAATACATGGACCCTAGGCAATGAAATGGTTAAAAACTTTGGTGGACACACTATTTGCTATCCACTTAAGTTGATAGGAGTTTTCACCCTATATATATATATATATATAATATAATATACTATATATATAATTAGGTAGATCTTCCTACGTGGCTGCCAGCTCCACCTCCCGTTTTCTCATATATATATATAATATAAATATATATATAATATATATAGTATAATAATATATTATTATTATATATCACACGCGGCCTTTCTATGCGAATCAATTCGTACGGCAATTGAACGACTGTTTGGGCGATTTTGGGGTTTTTTTCTCGCAAAACAACTCCGCGCTAATTGACTTCCGAACTCGTGACCGTACTGGGCATTGGAAAGAGGCGGGCTTTTTTGCAAAATGTCACGAAAGCATCTCTCTAAATCCCCTCGTGACCAACTCCCCGTTATCCCCCAAAATAAATCCCCAATCAAATCCCGCATCACCGACTTCCCCCAAATCCATCCCCGTCAACCGCCGACCGCCGACCCCATCAGGCCCGCTGGCGCGCCGACTCCCAAAATCTTCGACCGCAACTCCGACGGAGCTCATCTCCCCCCGTTGTCGCCCCCCCAATCCTCCCACGACACCACGAGCCTAGAACTCCGGACACATCCGCCGCTGGCGAGATGTGAACCGCGTGCAGGAGATAACTCGAACCATATCCTCTCGATCCTCTCGTTCTCTCTCCTCCGATCCCTTTGATTGGAGTTGCTCGAGGAAATGGGTTTTTTTTTAATTGATGCGTTCTGGCTGAAATTGGTGAACTAAATGGAGATGGGGATTTGGATTCTGGGTGTAGATTGATTGTTGTTGAAGCACCACTATTTGTGTACTAAAAATTGTAGTCAGGTTATTGTGTTTCTTTTCCTTTGACTATTTGAGTAGCTGACAGAAAATTGTTGTCAATTTTAGTTTGTAGATTACATCTGTTTTAGGCATTTCTACGACTGCAACTAAATTTTATAGTCAGGTTATTCTTTGTTATATATTTTATTCTGCTGATATTCTAATATCTTGGTCAGTTGGATTGTGCTCAGAACTCTTTTGCAGTTGAATCACTCATTTCCTGTGTTTGCAGGACTGTTGTTTACAAAGGACAACTGAAGCCAGTTCAGTTGAAGAATTACTATTATGCTGATCTTGGTGATGAAAGGTTCACAAGTTATATGGCACTGGTAAATACTCTTACATTCTTCTTAATGCACAGTCTGCATTTAACAGCAAGCTGCTTGGAGAAGTCTCTCGTAGCAGAACAAAAGTAAGGTTAAGTAATGAGGTTAAAGGCATCCAAGTTTGTATTCCTTCTGTTCTGCTGTATTGAATATTATTTGAATTTGGGTATGGATGCCTTGGGTAAGTCGGTGAAAGGTCTCAATAGTTGATGAATAATAAACGTGTTGCAGAATCCCGTTGCACTGTTCACTGTGGTCTGTACTTCAGGAAGCTTCCAATACGGAGGTGGAAAGAGAATAATATATAGTAAGGTAGCTTAGGGCTTCCACATTACTTTGTATTGGCACTGATGATAGGCAGAATCCCTAGTTCATTTTAAGTGCCTTGATGCAAAATGATCTTGGATATTCAGATGAATTTTTAATTGGCATGAAAGCTAAAGATATAAGAAATTATTGGACAGATTATTGAGTTGCTTTGCTCTTATGCGGGTACACTCTAGGTTCTCAACAAATACCTTTCCTAGCTGGGATCGTGCTCAGCCCATGCGCATCTTGGGTCACAACGGAGAGATTAACACACTTCGAGGCAATGTTAACTGGTAAAGTTTTTAGGCACTGAAAACATATTTGCAGAGATAACTGCCTGATAAATAATTGAATCTCATTTCTTTTCTCAGGATGAAGGCGCGTGAGGGTCTTCTAAAGTGCAAAGAGCTGGGATTGTCAAAGGATGAGATGAAGAAACTTTTACCCATTGTTGATGCTAGCTCTTCTGATTCTGGTGGGTTCACTTAAATATTTTTGTGAATAAAGTCCTACAGGTTACATTTAAATACAGGCTGTAATCCATATGTTTTTTTTTTCTTTCATGGTATGAGAACTTGTTGTCCTTTTGTGTACAAACTACTACATGTAAGCCACAGTATGTGTATCATTAGTGTCAGCTTGCCGTTATGCTTTTTCTTTTCTAACGGGAAAAGAGGGACAGGAACAGAGACACAATTCATGTTATTAATAGAAAATGCGAGGAAGGAAAAAATTAACGCACATGTATTAAATACCTTATCTGATATATGTGATGCAAGTAACAGACATGATAAGATGTTAAATACCTTATATGATATTCAGACCGATGAAGATGGTCGATGATGCAGGCATAATTCTTGCTCCATATTAAATTTTTTAATGTTACCAAGTGAATGCATCCGCTCGCTTATGGTGTTCTTTTGAAGTATTTATATATGTAACACTTTCTTAAGGGAATTATGTGCTTAACGCAACACTTTCTTGATATCTCAACAATTCATAATTTGGACGCTTATGAAAGTTCAATGCCTTCATTTTCTTCAGAATTACATCTATTTGGTATTGTGTTCTTGATATAACTATGATATGTTAATTACTTAATTTATTAACTTAGGTATGACACTTACCAGCTTGTTTGAACACTTACCAGCTGACATTACTTACAACAGCATGTTGCCTGGGACACTTACCAGTTTGTTTGAACACTTACCACGGCATGTTTGAACAGTTACCAGCTGACACATTACTTACAAGAAAAGGAGTTGCATTATTTGAAGGATACAATAAGCAGATAAAGCTGATTGATACAAATCTCAAAACTTATCAAATAATCAACAATTTGTTCGCTCTGAACTGACACTGATGATTACATTTGAAACAGTCAACAATCTACAACTCCACAATCCAAATCTGTTCACAAATCTCATGACACTGATGATTACATTTGAAACAATCAACAACAATCATTACAATAGGGAAACAAAACTTAATTTTTTTTGAAACAACGTGCTACAATATCATCTTCATCTATGTTTCTTCTTTTTTATAACCCAATCAAATCTTACCTGCTACCTCTCAATAAAATTGGTTAAAAAGAAAACTGTCTTCTAAAATTTGGGGTTTTATTTAAGGGATCTTAGATTACGTACCAGCGTCTAAGTTAAAATATCCGCTGAAAAGATATTTCCAACTATTAAGATATTTTTGGATCAATTAATATGGTAATAATAATATTGTAATCCTAATAACAAATTAATTGCTACGCTTCTCTCATTCTCTCTTCCTCAACGCACAATAATATATAGCTCCTTCTCCTCTCATCTTCTCTCATTCGCCTCACCTCCGCGTTTCCGCTTTCGATCGTAGACTCCAGTCTCTCATTCGTGATTTGATTAACAAACCCCAGCGGCGAAGCTTGTCCGGGGTTCTCAGGCGACGGGGTGTCGTGCGAGGAGTTGGCGGGGGGGCCGGGCGCGACAACGAGCGGGGAGAGATTGAGTCCGTCGGAGTTCCGCCCGGTCGAAGATTGGATTGTCGCAGCGCCAGCGGTTGATGCGGTCGCGGTCGCGAGGTGACGGGATGGATTTGGGGGTAAGTTCCGGTGATGGGGATTTGTTTTGGGCGATTTTATTTTGGGGATAACCGGAGAGTGGTCCACAGAGAGGATTAAGCAGCAGATCTGCTTTCGGTGACATTTGCCAAAAAAAGCCCCCTCTTTCAATCCCAAGTACAGGTCACGAGTTCGAACGTCAATTAGCGGAGTTTTTGCGAAAAAACCCAAAATCGCCCAAAAATCGTTCCAATGCGTACGAATTGATTCGCGATGGAAAGGCCGCTGTACCCGCCGTCCACGAAGTTCGAAAGGTCCAATTAGCGGAAGTTTTTTGCGAAAAACCCAAAATCGCCCAAAATAATCGCTTTCAATGCGTAACGAATTGAGTTCGCATGAGAAAGGGCGTGTATATATATATATATATATTATATAATAGTATACGTATATATATATATAATATATATATATTATTATATATATATATATAATATATTATATATATCTATAAAGAGTCTCACCGATAATCAAACAGTATTTCTCTGTCCAACGTGCACGTCTCACCGGTAATCAAACAGTATTTCTCTGTCCAACGTACAATTACAAATCAAAAGTTAATAGGCCAATGGGTAACGCTCGTTCTCTCCAGTGTCTAAAGTCAGCATTTCGTTGTAGGGAGCATAAGCAAAGGATTTTAGGATTTCAATTGTGTGTGTGTATATCATTCTCTTTACAAAAGGTATTATATTAGGAATCTCATCATAATTAATTAAATCAAAGTCCAAAAGCCGACAGCTTATGTTTTGACCACGGATATATCTTTAGTAATCAAAAGCACAGGATTTTAAGATTACCTTTTCTCAAATGTGAAAATTGCAAGAACTTTGTGATTGTTTGATTTATGCAATCATTGTTTTTTTTTTCTTTATTGTTTTATTAATTGTGTATTGTTCAGACGCTGACTTGTCAGCTCATTATGTTTTAACCCTTTCGAGCTTATGGGTAGATGTTTGTTTTTCACTTCTCTTACGTACCATTTAAGAACTGTACTTCAACTTCTAGCTCAAAGTTTACTAGAAGATTTGCGATCATGTAGGCTCGATTCTTGGGGAAGTAATTAGTCAATCCGATCAATTTACACACGCATCATGAGGTAATTAAGTATATATGTTTAATTAGATCATTTCACTTCACAGATCATAGTCAAGAAGATGCCTTGAGAGCGCACTCATTCTTCACCATATTCTATCTACAGATCACAAGAACAGAAAGCACATGTTTTGTCCTTTGTTTATCAATAGTGAGGTATATAACAATATCAAACTTCAACGCTCACGCGTATAAACTCATTATAAAGACAAGACAAAGAGTACACAGAACACACCGAAATTTATCAAAACACAACTAATTAATAACCATGGCGTTTCTGTCATCCAACATTTTCCACCCAAAACTCACCATCCTCTTCCTCCTTATCCATCTACATGTAGCTTTTCCCGACGGCAGCACTCACCTTCACTTCTACATGCACGACGTACTCACCGGTCCAAACACGACCGCTGTAAAAGTGGTGCCACCCGGATCCGACCCTACTGCATTAACTTTCGGGGGCATCTTTGTAATCGATGATCCACTAACCAAAGGGCCTGATATGTCATCGGGCCTCGTGGGCCAGGCCCAAGGTACTTACATCGTCGCGTCACAATCCGAACCGGCATTGTTGATGACCATGAATATTTTGTTTGTTGACGGGGAGTTTAACGGTGCCATAGGGAGGGACGCTATATTAGCTCCCGTGAGGGAGTTGCCGGTTGTCGGTGGTACCGGCAAGTTTCGAAAGGCTTGCGGGTATTTGCTTATAAAGACTTACACATTTAATGTTACCTCCGGTAATGCGGTATTGGAGGTTGATGTTTACGTGGAAGATCGAAAGTGAAGGCCAGACTCGTAGTCTTTGCTCAAGGAGAATAAAATCAATAAATTCCCATTTGTGTTCAGAGCAAATGGATCCGATCGTTTTATGTATTTAGCTAGTATTTCGTTGCTGTTGGTGCATATTCATATCCCATAGTAGATGATCTATATGTATGCTATGTACGTGACACATCAGATTAAACGCATCGAGAGACATGGACCCTCCTTAATCTGTCTCATGTTGATGTAATACGCTAGGTGTACGTGCTTTCTACTTTATCTACCTTTGGATTGTAAAATGTTGAATAAAGGTTTAAGCTTATAAAATGCCAAAATCTTATATCTCATTATGCACATCTAACTCCAACTCTTCCAGATGATCTTAGACAAAAGAAACCGGCAAAAAGAAACTTTTTCATATCAGAATCCAGGGAGATCTTCATGCCCACAATTAAAGCATTTTTATATCATTTAGATTATTAATATAATTCATGGGGTCCACTGAGTGAGAAGATTTGATTGGTGAATTGTTAAGTTTCTCTCTAATCAAGAATGTAGAGAACCGTCTCTACCCCTAGGATGAAACCATAAGGGCCTGGGAATTGTTGGGGATGCACAACCCCCCTGATGCGATTTGGAAATAGAGATTTAGGAGAGAAGAGAGAATTCAATCAATCACAAACACATAAGATTTACGTGGTTCGCTTCTCAATGTGAGAAACTACGTCCACGGCCGCCGCATGAGAAAATTTCACTATTTTTGTCTCTGTTACATCATGCCCTAATCAACCCTTTTATAGACTTAAGGGTTTTACAAATAGAAAAGGAAAAATGTCAAAAACTGTAACTGGGCCAAAACCCGACTCGCGGTCGACCGTCGCGCCACGCGCGGTCGACCGCGACGAATCCTTTTCCTAATCAGAGTCTCTGGAGTTTTTGCGGTCGACCGCCGCGCCACCCGCGGTCGATCGCGACAAAGCCTCCTGCTGATGGTAGCTCTCTGGACTTTTGGCGGTCAACCGTCGCGCCACACGCGGTCGACCGCAACGAAGACAACATGCGCGGTCGACCGCGAAGCTGCTCCTCAGCAATGTGCCTGTCTGTGCACGTCGACGGTCGACCGCCGCGCCATGCGCGGTCGACCGCGACTCAGTCAAAATGCGCCCTTCGTTGTTTTGCTTGAAATTCGTCGTCGTCGATCATGTTCCTCCTGTTCCACTTTGTTCCTCTTCATTCTGAAGTATAGGGCAGGTCTGATAGTTAGATTTTACATATCCTAACAATCTCCCACTTGGAGACTAACTATCAATCTCTATCAGCTCTCTCTGTGGCGACGACCTCCATATCATCAAGTAATGAGGCCAACTGAAGTTGAACACAACTTCAGTTTCTCTGTAGTGACAACCTTGGTAAGCATATCGGCCGGGTTCTTGCTTCCTTGAATCTTCACAAGTTCCAACATGTGCTCGTCCAACGCTGATCTTATGAAGTGGTAGCGGACCTGTATGTGTTTGGTCCTTGCATGAAAAGTGGGATTCTTCGCCAAATGAATTTTGCTCTGGCTATCACAATGCAAGACACTCTTCTCACTCTTCTGTCCCAGCTCCTCCAAGAAACCCTGCAACCATATCATCTCTTTGCTTGCCTCTGTCACAACAACATATTCAGCCTCTGTCGTTGATAAAGCAACGATCTTTTACAACTGAGAAACCCAACTAATAGCTGTAGAGCCCAAAGTGAATACGTATCCTGTAGTGCTCCTTCTCTGGTCTATCTCACCAGCATAGTCTGCATCAACAAAACCCTGCAGAACTAACTTGCCTCTCCTGAAGCATAAACAGTCTTCTATTGTACCTCGCAGGTATCTCAGAATCCACTTTACTGCTTCCCAGTGCTGCTCTCCTGGATCTGACATAAATCTGCTCACAGCTCCCACTGCATGGGCAATGTCAGGTCTCGTGCATATCATGGCGTACATGAGGCTTCCAAGGGATGAAGCATATGGAACCTTAGCCATATAGTCTTTCTCTTCATCAGTCTCAGGGCACTACTCCTTAGTCAATTTGAAATGACTAGCTAGCGGTGTGCTAACGGCCTTAGCACCACTCATCCCGAATCTCTCAAGCACCCGTCTAATGTACTCGGCCTGAGATAGCCACAGTGTGCCCAAGAGCTTGTCTCTACTGATCTTCATCCCCAATATCTGCTTCGCTGCGCCTAGATCCTTCATGTCGAACTCACTCGACAGCTGCTTCTTCAGCTTCTTGATCTCTCTCATGTCTGAACCGGCTACTGGCATGTCGTCGACATATAAAAGCAGGATGATGTAACTATTGTCAAACTCCTTGACAAAGCAACAATGATCAGCATTGTATCTAGAGTAATCGTTCCTGTGCATGAATCCATCGAACTTTTTGTACCATTACCTTGGAGCTTGTTTCAGGCCGTACAAGCTCTTCTTCAATCTGCATACCATCTCCTCTTTTCCCTTCTGAGTACAAGCTCTTCTTCAATCTGCATACCATCTCCTCTTTTCCCTTCTGAGTAAACCCCTCTGGCTGCTGTATATATATCTCTTCCTATAGATCACCGTGGTGGAAAGCTGTCTTTACATCTAGCTGATCGAGATGTAGATCTTCAGCTGCAACAATACTCAGGACAGTTCTGATGGTAGTCAGTTTGACTACAGGAGAGAAGATCTCTGTGTAATCAACTCCTTCTCTCTGCTGAAATCCTTTAACCACTAATCTGGCCTTGTATCTCTTGGAACCATCATGTTCCTCTTTGATTATGTACACCCATTTATTGCTCAAGGCCTTTTTCCCCGTTGGTAGCTTCGCAAGTTCCCATGTCTTGTTGGTGTTCAAGGATTTTATTTCATCTTTCATGGCGAGCTCCCACTTGCTCGCATCATCCACTCGAAGTGCATCATCATAACTTTCTGGCTCTCCACCATCACTCAATAATAGGTAGTTGAGATAGGCTCTGGGCTGTAGTGATGGATACTTTGGATTAGGCTTGGGGACTCTAGCTGACCGCCTCAACTCTCTAACGGGCGAAACAGGCTCTCCATCTTCATCTGCCCCCTATGAAGTAGTCTCATCCATCAACTCTTCTTCTTCATCAGAACTAGCTTTGGGATTGCCTCCATCCGAGCCATCATCTGACTCGAAGTATGTGGGATCACTCTGTACCGAACTAGTGGACTGAACGGCATTACGGTCTTTATAGAGGACTATTTCATTAAAGACCACATCCCTGCTTCTGATGATTTTCTTGTTCTGCTCATCCCAGAATTTGTAGCCAAACTCATCACCGCCATAGCCAACAAAGAAACATTTCAAAGACTTAGGATCAAGTTTGTTTCTTACATGATCACTCAGATGAACATATGAAACACATCCAAATACTCTCAGGTGAGAAAGATTTACCTGCTTTCCACTCCATACTTCTTCGGGTATTTTGTGCTCCAAAGGCACTGATGGTCCCCGGTTGATCAAGTAGGCAGCTGTGTTGATTTCTTCTGCCCAGAATTGCTTTGAAAAACCTGCTTGTAACCGCATACTTCTGGCTCTCTCAGTCAACGTTCATCCGTTCTACTATGCCATTCTGCTGGGATGTACCAGACACTGTCCTCTCTAATCTAATGCCGCTGTCATAACAGAACCTCTTGAACTCTGAGTCTTCATACTCGCCGCCGTTGTTAGAACGAAGCTTCTTGATCTTCAAACCGGTCTCGTTCTCTACCATAGCCTTCCATCTCTTGAAGACTTCAAACACTTCTGATTTGTGTTTCATGAAATAGACCCAAGTCTTCCTCGAGTGATCATCTATGAAGATCACAAAATATAACCTTCTGCCGGTGGATGGTACTGATGCTGTACCCCACACATCTGTGTGAACTAACTCTAGCTTCTCTTCTTTAGGAGTTCTGCTAACCCTTTTGAAGCTTATTCTCTTTTGTTTCCCAAGAATGTAACTTTCACATAAGTCAATATCGGTCAATCTCAAACCTAGTAACTTCTCATTTGACTGCATAACCTTTAGGCATTTGCTACTCATGTGACCTAGCCTCTGGTGCCACAAATTTGGGTCTTCCTTACTTTCAGCCACTGTAATGGAACCACGTGCATCTATTGTCATGTAGAGGGACCCTGTCTTCGTACCACGGGCAACAACCATGGACCCCTTTGTAACCTTCCACGTATCACATGCGAAGGTTGATACATATCCCTCTTTCGCCAATTGTCCTATGGAAATCAGATTTTTTATCTCAAGCTAGGAACATGTCTCACATCACCCAGCTTCCATATAGACCCATTGAGCTTGATCTGCATGACTCCTTTGCCAACAATATCGCAGGGCTGATCGTCACCAAGATAGACTTTTCCTGAAACGTAGTTCTCAAATAAATCTCTATTTGAGGTAGCATGAAACGAAGCTCCTGAATCCAGCACTCACGATTCAGTCTTGCTCTCCAACGAACAGATTAGGGCATCATCTGATTCTCCTGAGGCCACGTTCGCTTCAGTCTTGTTCTCCTTGTCCTTCTTGGGTTCTCAGCACTGATTCTCATAGTGGCCAAACTTGCCACAATTCCAGCAATCGATCTCCTTCTTGCTCTTGCGATTTCTGGACTTTGACCTCCCGTTCCTCGAGTTAGGTCTTCCTCGGCTATTCTCTCTATTTCTGTTTTTTGTTTCTTCCTCTGCTCTCAAGATTCAACGCCGACCCTGAATTAGAAATCCTTTCCTCTTGTCTTCTAATCTCCTTAGTCATAATTATGTCCACCACCTCTGAAAACTTCAGTTTTGATTTGCCACATGATCCGCTAATCGAGATAACGGTACCCTTCCAACTATCGGGTAATTGACCAAGTATCAAGAGAGATTGGATTTCATCGTCAAACTGAATATTGACCGAGTTTAGTTGATCCGTGATCTTGTTAAACTCGTTCAGGTGTTCCTTGAATTTCTGGCTCTCGGACATCCTCAAATTAAACAACTTTTTAATGAGATGTAC